TCAAATTAAAGCATGCAAGATAGTAACACAATCGTGGGGAAAGTGGGGTGGGCAGGGAGGGAGGGGAGCCTCTCCAAGCTTCCGGAGCTGGTGCTGTCCTGGGGGAGATGCTAGAGAGCCTGAATGACATGTAGTCCAGGTTCCTGAGAGTGCGATGGCAGTTAAGCCCTTTACAAAATACACAGTTTCTTCATAAGTGTTAATTTTCTTTCTTTCCTCAAGGTATAGTAGGAAGCACTGCTTCTCACACTAAGTGAATGTACGGATTCTCTGGGATCTGGTCAGAATGCAGATTCTAGAATGGGACCCAAATTTCTGGCTCTCACATGCTGCTGATGCTGCAGGTTGGTGGCCATATTTTGAGGGACACGGGCATTAACAACAGCTCATTGAGACTGGATTGACCTGGGTTCCAGTGCCAACTCTGGGTGATTTATTGAACAGAGCTGACCTTTGAACCCAGGTCACTGCTTCCGATCCGTCTTTTGAAAACACTGGCTTTCCTTTTCCTGGGCTCTGGGGTGGTCAGGCCTCCTTGGACTCATTGCTTGTTTCTTGGAGGAGTTGCAGGGCATCTGGATTTGGTCTCACTGTCTAGATCATTGACTCTCCGAACATTTTACGTGACAAAAAATATCCTGAACCTAATTATATGTTCCCGGTGGCCCTAATTGTCTTGAGCTTTGCAGCTGTGGGCTTAAGATGAAACTACTCTTTGATTTCCACTTTTTCTTGCCTTTCTCCATCCAAGTAATGTGCATTTGGAAAGCTCTAGGGGTAATGTTGGGCCAGTCCTGCCCCATGCTGTTCCTGAAGCTTCAGTGCATCTTTATCTTTATAAATAGTCTCCTCCTGCACCTGTGCTGCCTCCTGTGACTAGGACGTGCTGTGAATGGTGAAGCCACTTGCTAAATGTTAAACATGCTGCCTCTCTTTAGACTCCAGAGCTCGCCGGGCAGGTAGTACTACTGTTATCAGGCCTGGCATTATTCATTCAGTCCGATGACCTTGGTCTCTGCATTTATCAATCACAGATGGATAGGAGATATTTGAATCATTTTATGGTCTGACTGCAGGTTTATGGATTTTCTTTTGGGAAGTATCTGAGAACTTCAGCTGAAATACTTTTGTTTGGTCATCAAATGATCATATTTTCAGAAGATCCGAAGCTTTTTTTTTTTTTTTTTTTTTTAAGAAAAGCTGCAAGTTTAAAGGTTAGAGACTTTTTAGACATGGTCTGCAAATGCTTAAAAAGCACAGGTAGATGACATGGTGAAGCGATCGGAGGTAAAAACAGGGAGCGGTGGCACCTGAGGGGGTGGGGGAAGGCTCACGCCCCGTTTGGAACATTCAGTGTGAAACAATCAGATCCAATTCTGGCCAGGAGTCCTACTGTAAAACCCCTCTTAGAATTTGGGATCCAGCATTAGAAATGCTGAGGGTCCCAGCTCACCAGGTACTGAGGGGTTTTTTGGAATGTTAGCATTTCAAGGCTAAAATTACAACATTGCTGGACACGCTGGATGGTTGGCCCTGGAAATCTAGCAGACTTTGTGCGTATAAGCTTTATCTTAAAATAGACTTTAATAAACTAAAGCTTCCTCTTTTTTTATTTAAATGATGACTAGTTGCATCAAATGACTTCACCTCTGAAAACCAAAAGAAAGGAGAATTTTTTTCTCCCTATAAGTTTTCAATATTCCTTGGGGAAAAATAGCGATCCTTACCATTTTATTTTTTTTTATAAGCAATGCAGGACTTCAAACTATTTGAAGAATGACCCCTTTTCAGAAATTAGAGGGACTGAATTTATTGCCAGCCAATCCTGTCCATCTGCTAATTCTCTCCTCATAGAGAGAGCAGGTGTCATTTCAAAAATGTTACAGTAGATAATAAGATGGGATGCATTTCATCTTCAAATGCTTAAAACAAATCCCTGGGAAGAGCTGCAGCGGTCCTTTTGGCCGCCTGCGTCTCTGATATTATTAACACAAAATGCCAAACAGATTCAGAGATTGGAAGCAAATGAATCTGCCTTAAGAGGAAAAGCACTCGAGTTGGGTATAGTACATATTGTAATAATCTGTAACTGTGTGGATAGAGTTGCTGCTGAAGCCGTGGGCACACACACAGATATTCTCAAAATCATGGCGCCGCGTAGAGCCTTGAACACCAATACAAACGCACGGGCTTCCCAAATCCGTACGACCTGTGCATACCAAAGGAATGCGTTATCGTCTGTAGCCCTGCGAAATGAACAAAATTTGCCCCGGACCAACAGCTTCCCCAAGTCTCACGCTGGCCTCGTTTCTCTCCAAATCCATGTACTTAGATAACCTTAGATTCCATCCTCCCCTCTGTAACAGCCCAAAGTCCGATCAACAAGTTATGTCAGTTATTCTTTGCATTCTTTTTTATATGATTTCTTTTCTCTTGGGTCCCCTATTTCCACTTTTTACTGTACTCAAGTCAGGTGGTACTTCAACCTGACCACAGCCTCTTGCCCGGGGTTCCTGGCCAAGATTCTTCTCCCTTCCAGTCAACCTGCATATAGCTCCCTGGACATTCTTCACAAGGAAGAAAAATTAGGGTAATATGAGGAACCGGTGAACACAGTCCAGGTGGAGCTGTGCATCCCTGAGCGTTATAGGTGTGCGTGAGGATGTAGATACAGATAAGATGTGCGTGGGGCTACAGGTGTGGACATCACATGGACACAGGCACAGGTGGGGATAGAGTTATACGGATATTTCTCCATGTAGAGATCTACAGTAGATCCCGTGTCATATGATCCTGAGAAGTACATTAAGCATACCTATATTTTTTCACTTGTGAGAGCATCAACTCCCAAAGAGTCCTCACGTCCCATCCCTGATGACAGAGCTGAGAGTCAGGACTACGTCTTCTGAACCCAAACTCAGGCTTGTTACGACTGCAAAAAAACTCTTATTTTTTCCTGTTTTTTGGGGAATTATAATCTAGAGTGGTCTTTCAGCTGCGTGGTCACTTGTGAGCCTTTTCCGTGAGGACATTGGCCCTGAACTTGGTCTCCGAGGAGCACGCAGAAAGAAGAGGTACAAAGCTGCCATGGAATTGCTCCCTACTGAACACATACAACGTGCCTGAGTTTTCATTCACGCAGACGAGTGCTCTTAACGGGCCTCAACTGATTTCATCACTTTCAATGTTCACAAAGAAAAAACAATCCCCAACGTCGGTCGGTGAGAATCCAGGTGAAGATGAGGAGAAACCGACCAGTTAAAAAAGAGTCCTGGGGGTCTGGGATGTGGTGCATGCAAGTGTCTGCATTTGAGAAAAGAAGTTCGTTCAAACGCAGCCAACCTGGAGCGTCTGCTTCTCTCTGTTGCTATCTGCGTTAAAGATCCACGGGGCAGAACAGATAAACCCTATTTCTAGAATATGTAGGGATGCTTAAGCTACCTCCCAGGGTCATTTTGAAGTGAGGAAGGGAGGGGCACAAAGGCAAGAAAAGAACAAACAAGTTGGAGAGGAAGACGTGAAAAATCCTACCGTTGCTCAAGTCAAAATATTTTAATGGCGAAATCATGATCAATGATTAAAGACTTTCGGTTTCCCGAGCTGGGAGAGGAGGCTGAGAAGCAGCAGGAAACTAATATTTAAAGATAATTTCAGAAACATGAAGATGAAAAAATTGTGAAAGGAAGAGGTCGAACCTTTTTTCTTCCACCTCCAAGATTTATTGAAGAGTATTAAAAAAAAAATGGATCTGATTCTACATTTAAATGCTACTGCATTTATTCATTCCAGATTATTTACTGAATATCAGCTCTGACACAGTGACTATAGTAGGGTTTTGATGATGACAAAAGACAGTGTTCCTGACCCCAGGAAGCTCACCATTGAACAGGGAAGGCAAGAGACGTAGAAGTGAATAAATGGACAGGTGAGCGGGTGGGTGGAGAGAGAGAGAGAGAGAGAGAGAGAGAGAGAGAAACACATTCAAAATGGTTTTATACGAACTCTGATGAAGGGAGTCTCTGGATGCTATTCTAAAAAATAAGAGCAGAATGTAACGGGCTGGGGATCAGGGGACACTTCACTGCAGAGCGGATCCCCTGAAAGATGAACAGGTAGAAAGAGATGGAGACAGGGAGAGTCCTGGCAACAGGACAGCAGACACAGTTGCTCGGAGAGAACTGTGGGAAGCTGTGGCACAGAGGGGACAAAGGTGGTGGGCGGTGGGGTCGGGGAGTTGGCAGGACTCGGCAACGGAGACGCTGTGCTGCTCCTCTTAACCTGTGCCCCCTCCTCAAAGCCCCACTGAGTAAGTGACTGGGAGCCTCCCCTGAGTGTGGGCTGCGCTCGGTAACCGCTGGAGGTCATGGGCTTTGGGGACGACCAGACCCTGCAGCTCAGCCTCTCAGTTTCCTTCCCTCTGAACGGCCCTGAGTGTCATCACTCACCAGCTGTGTCACTTTTGTGAAATCACTCGGTACTTGTGACTGTGAACGTCTCCTCTTCCCAAATGAGGGGATTTATGGTTTTGAGCTTATTTCTATCACGAATGTTCCGTGATGATGTCTTTGAAAACGATGCTCTGGACATCCAGGTAAAAGTCAAGCTTTCCATGTCATCTGTATGGATAGTGAGGAACCATGTTTTTTGGAGGCAAACAGACCTGGCTATAAACCCTGGCTCTCAGCGATATGTTCTTAGGGCATATATGCAGTCACTTCTCAGCTTCAGCCTCTGCATGGGGTTTGAAGGGTATCCACTGGTCAGAGTTATAGCACCAGCTGGAAACATCATCTAGAACCCATCCAGCATAATGGATTGAACTCGGCTTAATTATTTGTAGAACTGAAGGTCTCGGAGTCTAGAGGAATTTCCTGGATGCGTTCGTGGGTGTGCATAGCAGGAAACTGCATTCCCCGAACTTCATCTCAAAACTCTGATTATAAATACAGTTTCCAGTTCTTTCAGGGGCTGTGAGTAATCATGACACCTTGAGAATGTAGAGGACAGACCAGCCGTGACAGTGGCTCTCCCAGCGTGCACCTGCAGCCCACCATCTACCATGCCAAAGGACTCCTCCACTACCTGAGCGCCACCGGCCACCGCCCTGTGGTGAGTCACTTCCTTCTGCCTCCTCCTGTTCGGTGGCTTCCCACCACCTTCCAAGAGGCAGGTTGCTTTCCGTTAAGGCAAGAACACCAGACAAGCCGAAGACCTGTGTGTGACAAGCTCTCATGGGGGAGGCATTCATTTCCCGAAGACCTGTGTGTGACAAGCTCTCATGGGGAAGGCATTCATTTCCCGAGATGGCCACAACAAAGTACCACAAACCGGGTGGCTTAAGTGAAGACCTGTGTGTGACAAGCGCTCATGGGGGAGGCATTCATTTCCCGGCCACAACAAAGTACCACAAACCGGGTGGCTTAAGGCAACACAAACGTGTTCTCTCACACGTCAGGAGGGCAGAAATCAGAAATTAAGGGGTCGGCTGGCCGTGATCTTTCTGAAGGCTCTAGGAAAGAACCCTTTTTGCCTCTTCCTAGGACACTAGGAGTTCTCAGTGTCTCTTAGTGGCACCAAGCCCCCTCGGAATCCCCCTCTGTCTTACAGGGCCATCTCCCCCGTGTGCGTCACACAAATGTCCCCTTTTTGTAAGAACCACAGTCATCGGATTGGAGCCCACCGTGGTTCAGTATGGGTTCCTCTTGACCTGATTCCATCTGCAAAGACCCTGTTTCTGAATAGGGTCTCATTCACAGGCACTGCCAATTAGAACTTCCACACTTTGCAGGGAGGCACAATTTCACCCACAACAGGGTCAACCATCAATTCAATGCTCACCAGTGAAAACTGGGCAAGGGGTTACATTTTATCTATTTCCCAAGGCGTTATTTTTCTGGTTTGTCAGTTGTTGATCAAGAAAGAAAAAGTATATATCTATTAAAGAGTATATGGGAATCAATCCTCTGGGTGTTCATATTCATGTTTGACTAGTTTGTAATAAACTCCATAGATGATTCTGGTCATGTTCCAGGCATAGTTCACATATGAGATTTTCTCCCAAGCCCATAGCAACATGCAGCTGGTGAAGAACAGACTAGTTGAAAGCAGAGGCTTAGGTTCAAAATAAGAAAGGAGGTGATGGTAGCCGCGTGATGGTGCGAGAACAATCATTTATTGACTACAAACTGTGAACATATCTGTCTGCGGCAAAATCGTGGAGGGTTTTTGATCATGTGCTGTGTGGCACATTCAGTGAATATCTATTGAAACAAGGGATGGATATCTAATATAGAGTCTTATTTAAATCTCAAAAATACTAAAAGTTCAGGGGATTTCCCTGAGGTCACTAGGGAGTGTATGGCAGAGTTGGGGTTCAGTTCTGATCTGCTTTTCCACCCTGAAGCCTCATCTTTCTTCATCCTTTGCTCTTCGATGGGGTGAGTTGGGAGTCCTAAGACTCTACTCAGGTCCACTGATTCCCTCGAAGGACCCACAGAACTCAGAGGAGCTATTTTGCTCATAATTATGGTTTATTGCAGTGAAAAGATACAAGTTAAAATCAGAAAAGGTAAAAGGCACGTAGGGCAGAGTCTAGGAGAGACGAATGTGTTTCCAGTTATTTGCTCCCAGCGGGTTACGTGGGCAGTGCTTAATTCTCTAGCAATGACGTGATAACGTGTAGAGTGTGGCCAACCAAGAAAGCTTCCTAAGATAAACTTTGGTGTCTAGAATTTTTATTGGGGGTCAGTTTGCAGCCAAGGCACCTCTTAGCGACTCAGGCGGCAACCTCTTTGGGGCTCAAACTGACACTTTGTGGCCCACTTCTGTAAATCACATGTAAACATCAACCTTTTGACATGACCCAAGGCCCCAGATGAAGAAGGGTGCTCTTATCCAGCAGAATATTCCAAGGGCATCCAGGTGATTTCCGAGGAGCCAGTCACGGGCCAGACCTTTCCTTGGAATTTGCAGGGTTTGAACTCTGTAGACCTGCTGAGTCAACCCTTCATCGCAATGAGTGCGAAGCACATCTTTCTCCCTTAAAAATCCTGTTCTACACTGGCCAAATCGTGCACTATTTTTAGGCCAACCCTCACCCTCTTATCCAAGGAGACACCGTAATCTATGCTGTCTGCCCTCTAGAAGCAAGTTCATGGTCTGCAGAGCAGAACACCAATGTCACAGCCAAGGCCTGGAGAAAATGTGTTCTCTGAGTAGGGAGCCTCTGGGACTAGAGGGACATTTACAGGGAAAGAGGTCCCTCCCTGATACACATTTAAACAACACACGCGTTCACCTCATAACGAACAGGATTCTTCTCCGCTCTGACAACCTCTAATTGAAGAGCAGAACATTTATTTTAAAGTGCGACAGGTGAAAGCCTTGTTTAAAAATATAAATAAACATTAATTAACTGTAAACATGACAGCTACAGACTTGTTTCCTGCTGGGACCATCTGAAAGGTGGGTGAGAAACAGCTGAGTGCTAAATGCTATTCACAGCGTTACAAAGCTCTCTAATGGGCTCAGCATCACCTTTTAGTTACCTGTGAGGCTATACTTAACCAGCTTCTTGCTAACGGCAGAACTGCTGGCCCTTATTCAGTCCTCTGGTGTCCTATACTGGGGACATTTCCACAGTGTCAAGGTTGACTCTTGGGCTACAGGGTTGCAGATTAACTGTGACTCTGTCCAACCTCTGACTCTTACGAAAATATTTCCTGACCGTTGGGAAGCCACTTCTGGTAGCTAGGAGGTTTCCTGTGTGCCAAGTGGTACTCAGGCATTGCTGGGTAGAATAATATGAACTCCTGAGACCAATAAGAATGTGAGACAGTGCGAGAAAGTGCACTGATATGGATGTAGGTTGCTAAAGACCAGATGAGTTATTCAGTTTATAAGCAATATGGCAGTATTCACATATTCTTTCACCCATCCATCCACCTGCCTACCCACCCACTCACCCAAACACCTACCCATCTATCCATCCATTCATCCATCCACCCTTCCATGCACCCATCCACCCATCTACCCATCCATCCACCCACCTACATATCCATACACTCACCCATCCATCCATCCTCCCACGCACCCCCTACCCATCCAATTATCCACCAACCCTCCTACCCAACCATCCATCCACCCACCCACCCCCATCCATCCACTCACTCACCCATTCACCCGGCCAGCCAGCCACCCATATATCCATTTATTCATCCATCTATCCACCCATCTACCCACCCACCCATCCACCCACTCACCCATCTATCCATCCACCCACCTACACATCCATACACCCACCCACCTCCATCCATCCACTTACTCACCCATTCACCCAGCCAGCCAGCCACCCATATATCCATTTATTCATCCATCTATCCATCCATCTACCCACTCACCCATCCACCCACTCACCCATCCACCCATCCCCCATCCATCTATCCACCTACCCACTCACCCAACAACCTACCCATCTATCCATCCATTCATCCATCCACTCTTCCATGCACCCATCCATCCATCCATCCATCATCCATCCATCCATCCATCCATCATTCATTCATCCATTCATCCATCCATCCATCCATCCATGCATCCATCCATCCACTCACCATCTGCAAAAAAATCCATTTATCATTTCATTTTCACCACGTGTGTGTAATCACTGTACTAGCTATAGGGTTACAAACCCAATTAAGAACAACAACAAAAAAACGCCTGTCCTTTACTTTGAGGAGTCTATAGTTTACTTCAGTAGAAAGTGGAGTCATGTCTGCAAAGAAACCAATGAGTGCAACTGGTAAAACCTGTGAGTTGTTAGAGGAACATGAAAGAGGCCTGAGCCACTTTCCCCGAGGCTTATGGAAAAGCTGGAGACTGGAGATGCCATTTGCAGTAGACGTGGAGGGAGGGCAAATAAGAGTTCTGCTCGCTTTTTCCTTAGAGTCAGGCTGAGAATTACTGTTTCCTCACAGGGCCTACAGGCCTGACTCTGATTTCTTAGACCTCCGGCCTTGTGAAACTGGAGTTCTGGCAGGTTTTCTATGTTCGGGGTAACTGCACAGGGCAAAAGAAACAACTTTTCAGTTACTGGTGGTGGAGACTCATCTGACATCACATGGACCTTGCGGTCCCTTTCCCGTTTTCTCGAACCCTAATTTTCTGTCTTTCTAGTTTGTTAAAGGATCTGGAAACTTGCCCCAGATGTTGGAGCCAAAAGCCCAGAAACATAGTAAACAGTGATATATTTATATACTGGGAGATATATTTCTGCATTGGAATACTATTCAATCATAAAAAATAAAATGACAGACAACGATAAACTACCGATATACTCAACAAGGTGGACGGATTTCAGAAACATGTCAAGTGACATACGCTAGACACTCAGAGAACAGACTCTGCATTTCTATTTTATGGAAAATTCATGGGCAGTAAATCTGTAAAGACAGAAATCAGAACAGTGGTTGCCTCTACAAGGGGATTAAATATTAGGGGCCAGGAGGGAACTTTCTAAGTTAGCGGAAATGTCCTGTGTTTTGATTGAAACGTCAGTTCCACCAAAACTCATTTATTCATGGGTATCAGTACCTCGAAGATCTGTGCATGTCACCAAGCGGACACACTTCCCTAAATACAGCAAAGGCAAGACATCTGAGGAAAAACAAAGTCACGGAGCTCTGAAATGCAACTCAGAGGCAAAGGGCGCTGCCTGAAATAAGACTGACCTCCTGGCGGCCTGCGGTTTGAGCCGAGGCAGACATCTGTGCTGGAGCAGAGAGCAGGGAGCGTGCAGACAAGCTCAGCAGCCAGCCCGTGGGAGGCACCGAGTCCATCGCCTTTGTGTAGCTCCCCACAAAGGCCAGGAGGGTGGTCGCCCATGGGCCAGTCAGGCACAGCGTGGGGGGAGCAGAGGGACGCTCTTGGGAAGGCCTGGCGACAGCCTCTCCCGCACTGCTGTGTGGCAGCTGGCCTTGACCCGGTATCACTGCAAAGAACCTGGGCCTCGGCTTTCGGAGAAGTCTGGATCCGCATCCTCTCCGGGCTCTCGCTGAGTGAGCGCTTGTGGGTCAGGGCATCTCAGCGCCCTTTCAAGAGCTCATCCATTT